CGTAGCCTACGCTCCACATTAGAGGAATTCTCGAAGTCTTGCAAAGTCCTTGCACGGTGCACAGATTTGCAGGGATTGCACGTTAAAAACCGGTTTTACTATGGAACCGTGCATTGTGCAAGGGCTTTGCAAGACTGCGAGAATACCCGCAATGATTTTGTTGACCTTCACTTGGCTTTTGTTGCTTTCAAGGAAGCATATTGGTATGTACATATCAATTTTTACCAAAGCTAGCGTTTATTGATGCAGCTGTTACTGCATGAAAAACCCCATGAAATCTCTATTGTCCATACAGAGATATCCATGCATTTACACAACATATGTATGTATATGTATGCATGTTTATATGCAGATGCATTTGCATGCTTGCTAAAGGCACTAAGGCATGCGCGCGGGCCTATACAGCAAGGGTTAAACTCGACCAAAGGCAAACAGCATCAAGCGAAACTTTATTATTTCCACAGCCATAGTGCTGCTGGCTTCCTACGCTTTGCTTTTACTTTGTATACAAGCACATATGTACATATATTTATGTATATTTTTGTATACGTGTGTGTGTGTATGCACTAGTTTTGCATTGTACTTTATTGCAGTGTGTGCATTAGTTTTGTGTTGAGTAGCTGCATTCGCTTAATTGTTTACAGTAAAACTACAAACGAGTACATAAATCAATAACATAGTAAATCCGCCTGTAAATATGCAACAATATTGTATAGTGGGATCAGCTGCTGCATAAGTTGGCATATTGCATGCGTGCAATTTGAGAGGAGAAAAACAAAAATAAAATAAAATTAAGTTAATATGTTTGCATTGTGCGGCAGCGCATTCCCATCCGATGGTGGAGATTATTAAGTGAGCATGCATTGTTCTGAGGCCATAATGTGCAAACACAAAATCGGCGTTGCACTGAAATGTGTGCGAAATCGTAAAATGCTTTTGAATTGTTGAAAAATCAGGGTAAATAGTAATACTTGAAACAAAAGTTAATCGGAAATGGTTGAGTAAATGATGCGAGGAATATTGAATGCCTCTTCTTTCGAGGCTCATTGGCCAATTTATGGTTAAAAGGAAAAAGCACGATAACTATGTATGGCGTAAAGCCACGTGGAGTGGACTAGTGTAGCTTTATGTAGTTAAGCTAAATTATTTCAAGCCTCTCAGAACCATAAAGTTATCTATACATGTGTATATTTAAAGTTAAAAAAATTAGTTAAGATTGCATTGACACAAATCTTGCCAATACATCCATCCAGCCCATTAAGTCACAATCTTTTGCCTATAGTACTAATTCATATTTTTTATTAAAATACATAATTTCCCACATATCAGATGGTTTGGCTGCCATCTCACAATGACATTGGCTTTCTTCGCCTATATGCCGTTTATGGCAGCGCAGTTCTATCCACGCTTCGAGACACTTATACCAGCAGGTTTGCCATTTGCAGTACTTTCAAAGGAAAACATAGTAAATCTTATACTCATTTTCAGGTTTGATGGTCGGCTTTGGAGGCGGTCCACTGTGGTGTGCAAAATGCACCTACCTCTCCACAGTTGCGGAAGCACTGACTCAGGTACGTGGCAATGAGTCGCGCAAGGATGTGAATACAGTGAAATTCTTTGGCCTTTTCTTCATTTTCTATCAAATGGCGCAAGTGTGGGGCAACTTGATATCTTCTTCAGGTGACTACAAAGTGATAGAATAAGTTGAAATTAAAAGAAAAGTTTTTTTAAATTTACATTTTCCTTTTTCCATTACATACCTACTATCTATTAACCTCCCTTTCTTCCAGTATTATCCTTTACCTCCTCGGCCGGCTCAGAGGTAAATTCTACGCTCGATGCTCTCGTCACACCACCGCCCATAGAAAGTCGCGTGGGTGAACTGTGTGGCGCCCGTTTCTGTCCTGGGATTAGCGCTGAAGTTAATCCGAATTTAATGCCCCCCGAGCCGGCGAAAATCCAGCTGCTCACCTCAATTTTCCTGATTTGCATGGCCGCAGCAGTGGCGCTAATGCTCTTCGGCGTGAACTCCCTGAAACGGTAAGCGCACTTTATAGCTTGAAACACATTGAAAACGACGAGCCACAACTTCCAAATTATTATATTCATTATCTTAACGTTTTGTCGATAGCGACATGAATTTTTTGAACGCGGCTGCGACTTCATGAATTTGTATGAGTTTGACAAAAAAAAGAAAATAGAAATAGATCTAATTAGGCCACAACCACAGTCGTGGTAAAGTAATTTGACAGCTGTGGTCCGTAGCCCGTCGTTTCCAATGTGTTTCAAGCTTAACTTCAAAAATAAATCATTTTCTAAGCCTTCCTTCTCTCTTCACAGCTACGGCGTACATCGCACCGACTCCGGCGATGGCATGTCCGGCTTGCGCCTGCTTACCGTGACCATTAATATGCTGCGCAAGCGTCGCCAATTGCTAATTCTGCCTATTACAATGTTCATTGGATTGGAGGAAGCCTTTCTGGCTGTGGATTATACGCGCGTGAGTAGTCATACAACTAAGTAACACGAATTGTCTCGCTGATATCTTTTCAATCCCTTCCACAGTCGTTTGTCGCCTGCGGCTGGGGTATTTCGAAAATTGGTTTTGCCATGATTTGCTTCGGCGTGGCAAATGCTATCGCTGCCGGCATTGCAGGCGCTCTTGTTGAGCGATTGGGCCGCATCACTTTGTTCGCCGCCTGTGCTCTCTTAAATGCTTCGCTTTTCATTTACATGTTCTTGTATGAGGCGCGCGAGGGCGATTATGTGAAGTACTGCGCATTTGCAGCAATTTGGGGTATTTGCGATGGTGTGTGGTTGGTGGTGGTGAATGGTGAGTTTGGCTGTTGTCGCCACTAAATGCTTGTTACTCATTGCTTTTGTGCTTATATCTTTTGCAGCTTTTTATGGCATTCTATTTCCCAACCATCTCATCGCCGGCTACAGCAACTTCCGTTTGTGGGAATCAACTGGTTCGGTTATTGGTTATATAATCAGTTCACAGTTGTGCACAGGGACGAAATTGGTAATACTGCTGTGTGTGTTGGGCGTCGGAAGCGCAGGGTAAGTTCCTCGAAAGTGCGAAAATTGTTGAAAAAGCTGGCGCTTGACGCCATTATTAATAAGCTGTAAGCTAGGAAGCTGTAAGCGAGGAAGCTGTAAGCGAGGAAGCTGCTAGCTTTTAGAACGGATGCACACTTGCACAGGATTTGTAATTTTTTGAACGAAGATGTTCATAGGCAGAGAGAACCAAAAAAAAGAGACAGAAAAACTGCTTGAACTTAGGAGCTTTACCATAAATGAATGTACATATCTTTAAAACTTGTGATGGCTGTTTTACATTGATTGTTGTATGTAGCTCCTCTATAAATGGTCCTTCCTCAAAAATTGTACTAGAAAATTTATGATTTTTTATTTCTCTTTGAAATTTCTGATCTTTAAAACTGAAAACAGCAAATAATTTGAAGCTTAACTAAATATTCGATATATTATATTATGGTTGTCGGCGTCGCCGTCGATATAATTTTTTCGTCATAAAGTAGCACTCGCAAGTCCCAACTCCGGTTTCGCTGACCACAGTAGTTTTGCGAGGAACACCTTTCCGCAAAAATACTGTGGTGAGCGTAGCTGTCTTTTCAAGGTGGTAACTTTTTCGATTCGGTAACATAGGTCAAAACAAGTTCTGATTCCACATTAGGAAGTGGGCCTTTTATAGAAATACCGGTTTTGCAAGATGAAAATTTATTCCAGCGTTCCTTGGCTCTAAAATGGTGTGATCTCTAACAAACTGCTTGAAAATGGCAATTGCTATATCTACCGAGTCCTATCCCGGAAGGTTGTGGATGGTCCTGCCTTTTCTTGTCAGTTCGTCAGCTTTGCAATTGCCATCAATATTCCGGCGTAACCCGGCAACCATATGAGTACAATTCTATGTACG